TTTTTCATACTTCTTTCTTTTTGGTTTCTAGTTTTTTCGGGGTGATGAAGTATTTGTGCACCTTTTGATGCTACCATAGATCTTCAGTTCTTCTTGCCTATGATTCTTTGATCTCTTCAACACATTCTTCACATCTGCAATCACATTCTCAAAGCAAACATGTAAGGCCCTTCAAAGATCGTGAAAGCCCACGCTACGGCCGGTTCGCGCGCGGGCTCATTTGCCTATAAGCTGTAAGCCGTTTGGACTTGAGTCAAACAGCTGTGATGTTCCTTCTGAATTAGTGTGTTTTTCCCCCCAAATTCTTTGTTTTTCCATTCTCTTTTATATTTCAGGTGTTACGAACAGAAGAGTGAGATGAGGAGTCTCTATTTTATCGTCAATTACTCATTTGAAGCGTTTTTCCACATTTAAACAGCTACTCAATAAATGTTTGAGATGACTAGCATTAGCCCCGTCCCAACCATGCAAATGTTGAAAAAAAAGCAAACGGGCTGATCTAGAACTCAAATGAATTCATAAGACGAGACAATTCAAAAACATGCAGGAGTGATGATATGATTTAAGAGAGTAAATAAACACCCACAATTGTCAACAGTGTTAAAAACTGAACAATTTATAATCCGAATCTCATTCGAGAAGAAAAAACGCTCCAAATGAATGAGACATAACCTAACTCATTCACTCCTCTTGGGAACTGAAATGGAAAAAAAAGAAATCTTAACAAAATTTTGTTTTCTCAACAGAGAAGCACAATTTTAGTTTGTCTCAAGGCCAGACGGCTTAGACTCATAGGCACTTGAGCCCGTGTGCGGAGAGGATTTCGTGAACTTTCACGATTCTTGAGAAGCCCATACCTCAAATAGACAGTTGTATAAAATCCCGATACCGAATCGGATTTAGGCGTGAAAAACGCCTAAATCCGATTCGGTATCCTAGAAATAAAATTTTCTAATTTTCATGATGCTTTGCTGTTTTCTTTTTGTGCTTCTTCAAATCATATCGACTATTTTGATCCGTTTTGGTAGACTTTTTGGAACATTGTTTCTCCTTTTGTTTGTTTGTTCTGGGACGTCTAATCGGATTGAACTGAACTACACGCACCTTAGTGCCGGGTAAGCTGATTTTCTGCATGCTAGTGTTTTTTTCATAAAATTTACATTTCAGTGTTTGAAACTTCCTCCGGCATTACAAGACTTCAAGTTTCTACTGACATTATGAACCGCGTGATGTTCCAGGGGGAAAGCATACAAAGGAAATGCTATTCTGGCATGCATGGACTTTAACTTGAGGAATACTTGTTACTTAAAAATAGATTTATTTGTTTCATACATTTTCGATAAAAATACTCTGTATTCTGCTTTGCTAGTAAAATACACTAAAGTTTTCTTATACAAACATTTATAGAGTACATATATGTCTATTCTATTTTAACACATACATATATGGTAATTACATGGCACGTTTCAATTTTTTAATCATCACACATCGTCAATGCAATCTGCATGCAGCCAGTCTTCGCATGTAGGACACTGTATCCAAGATATAGTGTCGCTACCGCTTGATGCATGTAGTTGCATTCTTAAGCGTGCTGGCCACACATCCCTCTCGTCCGCTTCATAATCCGGAATATGCATAAGAAGTTTGCGCTTTGCCCTTTCGGTCTAGCGACCTCTGGAATATAGGTAAATTTCGCATGAATATGGAGTAGATTTTTTAAAACCTTATGCAACCTCCGGATGGGAGTCGGTGCCTACGGACGTCCTATCAGTGGTATATCAGGACGCTTAGCGAGATGGATCCCGCTTCCTACTGCCTTCCCAGCCAATAATGCCATTAATTTATTGGCTTCTTTTACTTTCAAAACGTGCGGGAATCCTTTGCGCACTGCTGATGAAAATTGTATCGCGCTAAGGCCCGTAAGCTCTCAGTGCTCCAAATTCCTAAATAAAATACTCAAATGCAGATTTTTCTTGAGCCACGAAAACCCTACCATTTCTAGCTTTTGGAACATGTCCTTCTAAAAGTCCCTATTATCTGTGGAGCTTCGCCTTGCTATCGCTTCTGGGAGTTTTCGGAACGTAGACCTCTTCGTCCTCTGCATGGAAAAGTTGCGGATGCTTTACAAGATCCCGATGATTCTACATGTACTTCGACAATGAATTCTTATCAGAACCCTAACTATATGAAAATTTGTAAAAGCAGAGAAAGTGCAAGGCATAATCAAAATGGAATAGAAATAAAAGTTTTGAAGTTTATTCACGATGATAATAACCACATTGGGATACGACAAAGTGACGAATGGCATACCTTCCCTTCTTCTTTGCAAATAGGACAAAATGTAGTTTGTAGTGAATAAATCTCCGAGTGTGTTTCGCTGCTATGAAATGCCACGGTGATGATGAAAAGTGCGTCGCAGTGATTACAAGTAATCACAGTCCTTCCACTGGCTGCAATCTTCTGCCTCCTCTGACCTTTCAGCTCATCAATCTCCTCTGTCGTATACCCATGAGCACGACGCACATGCTTGTAGAGGTCTGCCTTCATACCAAAGCGACAACTTGAACATTGGGTGCTAAACGAAGTAGGCGGACTGCCATAAGAGAAACAGTCATAATTGCAGATGTAATCAAACTGATCGCAGTGGAGAGATCCACTGTTGAAGAATTTTTCATGGTACAAGGAAGGTGATTTGTAGATAAGATGTAGTAGAGAATATTTATAAACGTCTAACTATGCCAA